TTTGGGGGGGGGGGGGGGGGCTCACCGCCGCCAGAATCGGAGAAAGCAGAGATGCCGACCGACCGAAGGGCGAGGGGCAGAGGAGGATGCGCTCTGCCTCCATGCCAATCGCCTAGGGTCGGCGCAGTTTCCCGCGGCCGCCGGCCCGCTCCTCCACGCTCCAGCCCAGGCCTGGCTGTTCAGTCCCCGGGGCGGCACCGAGTCTCCCCATCACGTCGCCCCCGGCCGCCCGGCACGCGCCCCTCGGTGGCTCACTGCACCAGACCCCGCCGCTCCAGCCCGAGGAGCTGGAGACAGCCCCAAGCCTCTCCCTCTCAGCGTCGGTTCCAGGACCCCTGAGGCCGCACTCACGGTTGGCGATGTCGCCCCCCATCTTATACTTGGTCACGACCAGGTCCTCGGCGATAGTTTGCTCCTGCTGCTCATCTTCGCCCGACATCCTTCTATCACCACTACTGCAGCTTCGCTTCTCCTGAGCCGCGGCCTCTGTCTTCCTTCCCAGCCACAAGCAGTGGCCAGAGTGCCCCCAGTCCGCGAGGAGAGCACGAGCGAAAGCGCGAGCAAGCAAGGGAGCGGGAGGGCGGGCGGCGAGAGCAAGAAGCTGCGAGCGCGCGGGCTGAGCGCAGGGCACGCTGGGACTATGAGTCCCGCGGGCCGCCAGCCTCCAGCCGCCCACGTGGGCTCGGGAACTACAACTCCCAGCCTGCTCGTCGCGTCCCTCTGCCAGGCCCTGGGTCCTTGCTCTCCCAGGTCCTCGCACGCCAGAATCGCCGGGCACGCTGGGAAGGGTCAGGCTCCGGCGGGAAGGCGGAGCTGTTGGGGAGCGTGAAGGCAAAGCGTGGTCTCTCTGGGAAAAACCTTATCGAGCGGATCGCTGAGCTGGAACCCGTAACAGAGGGGGGCGGGCTGAGCGACGCAGGGCGGAGAAATGGGTATAGAGTTGCCGAGTAGGGTGGAGTCGGAGGACGGTAAGCGTGGTGTGCACACCTAGGGCGGGGAGCTTGTGTCCTTAGCTGGCGCGACCGGCTGGGCTAGTTCAGTCCTCCCAGTGCTGGGAGGACGGAGTGGAGCAGAGCGGATGTGGAAGATCTAGGCCAGGATTTACTGGACAGCCGGAGTCTGAAGGATATCCATTTTCTATGGCCTCCAAATGTAAACGCGAGACTTCCCCCTGAAGTAAAATGGCACTATTGTTCCAACAGTAAGCTTTGATTTCTAAGAGAAATGCTCAGGAGGGATTAGGTCACTTAATGAGTTCTGAATCATTTCTAGCTTTCAGTATTCAGCCTATATAGGGGAAAAAAAAACAAAAACAAAAAACAGCTGTAAGTGTTTTTCTGATATCCCCAGGCACACATTTTGTTTTTGTTTTGCTATAGTTGTTACCTTTTAGCGATTCCCAGGAAAATCCGTAAATAAAAAAATCTGCTCTTTATGTATCTGAGCATTAAAAGAAAAAATAGCAGGCGAAAGTTAGATGAGATAGAAAGACGATGAAGAGCAGAGAAAGCTATTCACTGTTCAGGAGCAGGGAAAAGGGAAGGATGCTTATGCACTTTTCACTTGACAGGAATCTGGAAAAACTTTGGCATTTTTATTCAGACACATATAAAAACAAAAACTTCAGCGATACAAGACATTTTCCCCCAGTTCTCAGCCAAGAGGCCTGAGGTCTGAAGATGGTTCCTCTTTCTGTCCGACCAGAAGCTCCTCATTCCTGGATGAGAATGGGACCTTTATGAATTGGCTTGTAAGGAGTGTATATCATCTACAACACAGAGGGGCTGTGGTTTACACAGATATACCCAGTTATCTGTCCTTCTGGGATGTCTCCACTCCTTCCTGAGATAAGAAGTCTGGGTGTTGGAGGATGTGGCTGTTGGCGTTGGCTTATTTCAGTGCAAAAGAAAAAAAAAAGAAAAGAAAACAAAGCCCTGGTTGTGGCTCACACCTGTAATCCAACCTTTAGGAAATTGCTGTGAGTTCAGGGCCATCCTGGGCTACAGAGTTCCAGGCTAATCTGGTCTACAGAGTGAGATGCTTTCTCAAAAGCAGAAACAATGCCCTTTTCAAGGGCTTGACATACATTTTCCTTGACACCTTATAGTAAAAACACATGCTGGCTGTGGTGGTACATGCCTTTAATGCCAGCACTAGGGAGGCAGAGGTAGGCGGATTTCTGTGAGTTCCAAGGCCAGCCTGGTCTACATAGTGAGTTCCAGGACATTTGGAGCTGCAGGGAGACCCTGTCTCAAAAAGACCAAAAACAAAAAACAAACAAACAAAAAAAACCCACATGCATTGGAATTAGGAAGATTTTTGAATCCTGGACCTGCTGCTTAATTTCTTCAAGGCTCAGTCCCTCATCTGAGGTTTGGTTTCCACAGTTTTAGTAACCTGTGATCAGCTACAGTCTGAAAATGTTGAATTACAAATTCCAGAAATAATTCCTAAGAGGTTTACATTGCACACCATTCTGAGTACCATGATGCAATTCCAACCATCCTGTCCCATGTGGTGGGTCAATCTTTTTGCCCAGCGCATCCACACTGTACAAGTTACCTGCTCATCAGTCACCAAGTAACCCACCAGGTTATCAGACTGGCCGACAGTGATATATCACAGTACTTGTGTTCAAGTTCATATACTCTCATGTTGCTTAAGAAATGGCCCCAAAGTGCAAGAGCAGTGATGCTGGCAATTTAGACATCAAAGAGAAGTGCTTTCTTTAAGAGAAAAGGTAGAAGGTTTTAAGTTCATATGGGGGGAGCTCATATGCCAAGATCTACAGTAAGAACAAATCCATGAAATTAAGAAAATGGAAAAAGAAATTAGTACTAGTTTTTTTTTTTTTGCTGTGGCACTTCAAACTGCAAGATTTATGGCCAAAATTAATGACAAATTCTTAAGATGGAAAAGGTATTGAACTATAAGATTCAAGTTTGTAGACCAACTAAAATATTAATTTAAAAACTATAGGATTCAGTACTATCCACAGACTCAAGCACCTACTGGGTATCTTGGAACACTCAAAGGGACTATTCTGTTTATAAAATGAGATAACCTCTAACTCACAAAATTATAAGGATAATAATTGAGATGATGTAGGCCAAGTGCAGCATGAGGCCTGGCTCATAGTAAATGATCAATTACTAGTCATCAGTATCCTAACTTCTTTCCTTATTCTACAAAGTTTTAAACTTCTCAATCTTTCCATGGGATTAAGAGTCTCATAAACTGAAATTTTACATTGCTCTGCCAGATTACTCTATCTCCTCTTCCTTAGGACAGTCTGATAGGAAACAAAGTCAAAACTTAAGAGTCTAATCCCAACAAGGAAGAGCCTGGGAGAAAGGAATTTAGGAAGTAATCCTTCATATCTCCAGGGAGTCACCCTGAGGAAGCTGAGGAACGGGATTAGGAAAGTATACAAAATAGGAAAAACCTCTTTTCCTGGGGTTGTCAAAGAGAAGAAAGTGCACAGCTGGTTACACACCACAAGAATTTTGTGTGGAAGTGTTTAAAAGCCTTTGAAGGACGAATAGAATTGTCTAGAACTGGACAAACAGGGCTGAGACTGAGGGAGAGGGGGTAGGAAAGAGTACCCTCTAGAGGCACTAGCTGCCATCAAATGCTCCCCAAGTGTTTCAAGGAGCGGAGGTTATGTTCTCTGGGCATTGGCTTTAGGGAAAAGTCTGCTATGCCAGTAGTCAGGATTATCAAAGGCAGAGTCAGTGGCTTCTAAGCTCCTCAGAGTTTTGAGACGGGCATAGCGGACATGGGGAGCATGTTGTCCTGGCCCCTGGAAAGCTCTCATCTCTTCATACCCTTGTTCAGTTGCTGGGCAGGTACCCATGGCCGCATAGTCGCCTCCTGCACCCCCTCCATCACGTTGCCGGTTCATATATTCATAGTCTTCATCTGGAGTTGTGCCAGCAGAGGGCATAATGGGCACAGGGTGGAGAGGGCAACTCTGTGTGCTGCCCAGAGAAGCACTAAGGTCTGATCCCACATCCATGTACTCATATCCCAGCTCCTCAAGGGAGCCAGGCCTAGGGTGGCGAGGTGGACTACTTCTTCTCTTCCGGTTCATGTACTCATACTCATCTTCATCTTCTTCTTCAGTTCCCAGCACAGAACTGAGACCCACTGAAGAAAGGGTGCCTTCCCTGGAGGATGTACCTAGAATTGAGAAGAATGATGGGATGTGTAGAACTGACAGAAATAAGCAGAAGTGGAGAGAAGTTAGAAAAAAGATAGGGAGAGATATCAGAGAAGATGAAGGATTTAGGGGGAGCTTAAAAGATGAGAAGAAAAAACTACAGGAGGATTCAGGTACCTTTGAGGTGTGTATCTGGCATGACATAACCATTGACATCCTCTTCCTCTAACCCTGGTGGGGAGAGTGGGGTAACAGGAGTAAGCAGGCTGTGTCTCTGTGAATGGTAGGCACTGTCTCCACGTGGGCGTGGACTCCGACTCCGGCTCCGGCTTCTACACATTGACACTTTCTCTTGGAGCTCTGCCTCTGAGCCTGTCACATGGCCCTCTGATGACTCCGATGTGAGCCGTCCCCGTGGAATTGGATGCAGAGAGATGGGACGGGGGCACTGCTCACTACTCCCACAAACTCCAGAGTCCTAAGGAGGAAAATAAACAGAACAATAAGGGGATTTGTTTAGAAGGAGGAGAGGTTATTCAACGACTTCTTTGCAGGAGGCTGATTAAACTATAAAGGTTTCTGTTATCTCCCTCCATATCCTATCAACCCTTTCAAACACATAAGACCCTCTGCCACCCCCACCTTTTTGACAGCGGACCTTACCAGACAAACCTCCCCGAGATTACTCTGGTTCATGGGCATGTATCCAGATGAGGGACTTACAAGACTCTGGCTCTAGGATGAGAAAAGGAAAGAAATGTTAAAATGAAGGAAAGATCTCAGCATGGAGGCTGTTGAGTAATTTGAGTAGGGTTCAAATCTACTCTTGGGCATTTAGAAGGCATCTTACCCCACGAGGCCGAGTAAGCGTTCCAGCTGGTAAACTGAGGGCAGAGCCCAGTGTGGTAGCCAGGCTGTCCTCCTCCGCCTCCAAGTCTAGGTCTATGTCCAGTTCTGGCTCCAGCTCTACTTCCTCTAGTTCTTTGTTTGTCAGAGCAGAGGGCTCTGCCCCAGGAGGTAGTCCAGGCCCAGTCTCTCTCTATAGGAACAGACATTTGTTAAGGTGGATTCTAGTTCCAGACAAGTCTTTTCTCTAAATGACTTTGACATCTCCTACTCACCTTTATGACCAGATACCGTGGTGGGTCACGGGCCATCCTGGTGAACTCATTAGCTAGTTCTTTAAAGGTTGGGCGAATATTCTCATCAATCATCCAACCTGGGGGTGAGATGTTGAAGGTAAGCCAGAAGAGAATAGAGCCACGGAGCAGGAGGGAGGGAAGTCAGCTAGAAAATGCCTGGGCTCGGCAGATAACTCACACTTGACCATGACCATGTAGACATCAATGGTGCAGATATGGGGCTGTGTTAACCGCTCCCCCTTCTCTAGCAGGTCTGGGATTTCAGCCAGTCGCAACCCTGCATAGGGCTCTGCCCCAAAGGTCATCAACTCCCAAACTGTTACACCTGTTATAGGAAGGAACTGATTAGTCAGTATGAAAAATAGACCTAGGTTGGGGGTGGTGGCACAGGCCTTTAATTCCACCAGGTGGATCTCTGTGAGACTGAGACCAGGCTGGTCAACATAGTGAGTTCCAGGCCAGTTGGGGCTTACAGGGAGACCCTGTCTTAAAACAAACAAAAAATAGACATAGGCATGAAGTAAAGGGAAGTTAGAACTTGCTCTCATAGAAGGATCTGAAGGGTGTGCAGTTTCTCCAAGGAGGTGACTCAAAAGATATTTGTGGAATTTGGGCCAGTGATGACATGGAGGGTACCTAGGCACACTCACCATAGCTCCAGACATCACTCTGGTGGGTGTATTTCCCAAAGTGGATACTCTCAAGGGCCATCCACTTAATTGGAGTCTGAGGATTAAAGATAAAGTGCTATTGGTTAATTTTCACAGATTTTCTTAGCATTTCAGAACCTCAAGTTCACTATCATTCTTTGTTTTCTGAACTTAAATTTCTTGAATTTACCATGAATCATCTGTTTACCTCAGAAGGAGACCACTGACTACTTTCTACCTCTGTGCTCATCCCACTCCACTGCCATCACCTCTCCATCTCTGTTTCACCTTACCTTGGCCTCGCTGTGTAGTAACTGCTTATCATCAGGTGGTAACAGGTCAGCCACGCCAAAATCTGCCACCTGAACCTGACTGGGTGACTTGAGCAGCACATTCCGAAGAGCCAGGTTCCTATGCACCATGCTATGCTCCTCCAGGTAATACATACCCTAAAGGAGGAAGTAATCTCAGGATCAGGAGAGCTAGTCCTTGAGATCTAGAACTCCCGAAACCCTGAAGACACCTCTCAGAACTTCCAACCCTCAATCTTCCTGCCCTTATCCTGACTTCCTTCGGTCAGGCAGTTATCATAGGCATCCTCTAGTCTCCTCTCACCTTAGCAATTTGTACTCCCCAGTTGAGCAGCAGCTGTGGCCCCAGTGCCCCACGATGCTGTCTCACATGATCAAGGAGGGAGCCCAGAGGCAAGTACTGAGTGACAAGCTGCAGAGATGTCCCTGGGCATAGTCCCAGCAGCCGTACGATGTGTGCATGGTCTAGGCTGCCAATGGCCAGCATATGCTAGGAAACATGAGAGGTATCATCCAGGGAACACCAGGTTCACATGTACTCAGTGCAGGTATAACCACCCCAGGGCTTCCTGTAACATTCAAGTACAGCAGCACAGTATTTCCCAAGACAGTATCATACTTCTAGATGTCTGTACCTAACACTGCCTCTCTTCTAGTGGCATATAGAATCCCATTCCCTCACTTACATCTGTCACATCTTGAAAACTTTGCCGTCCACTCCTGTCCTCAATGACTTTAATGCAGACTGGAATCTTGATGGATTCACCCTCAGGAATCCACACCCCCTAGGAAGTTTGCGATGGGAAGTTAGGCAAGGATCATTTTTCCCATGTAAGTCCTTTGCCAAACTTTTTCTCCCATTTGCCCTCAATATTTTCCTCACTTTTCCAGATTTCCTGTGGGTCACTCACCTTGTGTACGGTTCCAAAGACACCTGAGCCAAGTACTTTAAGCTTTCTTAGCTCTGTCTCTTTGAAGATTCTGGCCAAGACTTTGTTTGCCTTCTCGCTGGGGTCTAGAGGCTCTATACTCTGAGGAGTGGACAGGAAGGAGGCACTCAGAAAAGCCCCACTCCCGTGTCCCAGTCCCACCCCACTGGTGCATGCCAAGGGCAGCAGGGCCCAGAGCAGGAAGAGGAATTGTCTTTATTCCTGGAAAGCAACATAATGTCATTGGGAAACAACAGGCCCTGAGGCTTTGAAGAAGCTATGTCTGTGAGAAAGGAATCAAGAGGGTGGTTTTCCCTCGGAATAGCCGAGGGATATGGGGAGGCTGGTCATACACCATCTTGAAGACCTTTCATAGAATGCTCCTGCATTTTCTCTCTCTTCTCTCTCTAAGGCAGGACCTTGTAGGGCTGGAGAGATAGCTCAGTGGTTAAGAGCTGGTTACTCTTACAAAGGACCCAAGATTGGTTCCCAGCACCCAGATGGCAGCTAACTGTAACTGTAGTTCCAGAGATCTGACACCCTCTTCTGACCTCCTAAGGCATTACACACAAGTGGAGCACCTTATGTGCAGGCAAAACAGTCATGCACAAAATAAAATCCATAAAACCCAAAACAACAAAAAAAAGACAGGACGGTGCGGTGTAAATCAGGCTTGCCTTGCAATGCTCCTGCCTCAGTTCTGAGTGCTGGAATTACTGCCATGTGCCACCATGCCTGACTCTGCTTTTCTTTCTTTTTTTTTAATATTTTATTTATTTTTATTTCATATGTATGAATGTACTGTCTGCATGTATGTAAGTACACCTGGGTCATGCAATGCCCGCAGAGGTCAGAAGAAAGTGCTGGATTCCCCCTGGAACTGGAGTTATGGGTGGTTGTTAGCCACCATGTGAGTGCTGGAATCGAACCCGGGTCTCCTGCAAGAACAGCCACTGTTCTTAACCACTGAGCCATCTCTCCAGCTGACTCTGCTTTTCTTGTTCTTTTTCTTTCTTTTTTTTTTTTGGTCCTTTTGAGACAGGGTCCCCCTGTAGCCCCAGCTGGACTGGAACTCCCTATGTAAACCAGGCTGGTCTTGAACTCACAGAGATCCGCCTGCCTCTGCCTCTTGAGTGCTGGGATTAACGGTGTGCACCACCACACTCAGCCTGACTGCTTTTCAAAGCACGTCCACATGCCACTTATATTCTTGCAGCCATTCTGGAAGGATGAATGTTACTTCCTCTGTACAGATATATAAACTGAGGTACAGAGAAGGAAAGCAACTTCTTCAGAGTCATAACAAACAGTAATATCAAATGAGGAAAAAAGTTCCCACCTCTTGAACTGATGCATGTGCATGTGTGAGTGCACATGTGCGTGCATGTTGCTGGAATTGAACCTAGGTCCTTATACATGCTAAGCAAGCATTCTATTCTACCTCTGAGCTATAGCCCTAGTTCTACACTGTCTTCTTGAAAGGACCAAATTTCCAGGGAAAGAGGAGGGGGAGTAAGATTCATCCTCTGATTTATCTCTGGAAGCCAATTATAAAGGGTACCTCTCAAAATATATACTCACCTCACCCCGTTCCAAGTAGCGCCTCATAGCCCTTTTATTCTGAATCCTGCGCCCACGCCAGTAGAGAAGAATGCCTCCCAGGGCCAGGATAATCACAGCCAAGCCTACTGTCAAAGCCATTACCAGATGGGTTTTGCTATGGGATATAGAAATGGCCAGCATTATCCTGGGTTTACACCTTCCTCACAAGTGTCATTTATACTGTGTAGATCTGCGACAAGATGTTAATATTCACAGATATTATTCTTGAGCACTGAAGGGGTTAACCTAAACATGGAACATCTTCTTCTTAGGCTAGCACAAGTTAATCTTAGGAAGGGAGGCCAGAAACCATGATTCCTGAGTCCAGCAATGGTGGACTATGCATATAAAAAGACAGAATGAGCTGGGCATGGTGGCGCACGCCTTTAATCCCAGTACTTGGAGGCAGAGGCAGGCAGATCTCTGTGAGTTTGAGGCCAGCCTGGTCTACATAGTGAGTTCCAGGACGGATGACCCCAGTGGATGACTCTGCACTCATGTGCAGATGGACAGCACTGATTGGACTCAGGGTGCTATCAAAAACAACAACAAAAAAGGACAGAAAGTTGTGAGGGGGACGGGATTTGGAGGGGAAGTTGGAGGGAGGTGGTGGTGGGTGGATATTATCCACATTGTATATATTTATTTTATTTTATTTATTTTTTGTCTTTTTGAGACAAGGTCTCCCTGTAGCCCCAGCTGTCCTGGAACTCACTATGTAGACCAGACAAAAATCCACCTGCCTCTGCCTCCCAAGTGCTGGGATTAAAGGCGTGAACCACCACGCCCAGCTTCCACATTGTATAAATGTATGAAAATTTCAAAGAATAAATTTAAAGTATTTTTAGAAAAAGGAGGTCATGGGCTGGAGAGATGGTTCAGTGGTTAAGAGCACTGACTGCTCTTGCAGAGGACCCGGGTTCGATTCCCAGCACCCACATGGTGGCTAACAACCATCCATAAGTCCAGTTCCAGGGGAATCTGACGCCTTCTTCTGACCTCCGTGGGCATTGCATGACACACATGCACTTACACACATGCAGGCAATACACTCATACACATAAAATAAAAATAATAAAATATTTTAAAAGAAAAAGGAGATCTAAGCCGGGCATGGTGGCACACACCTTTAATCCCAGCACTTGTGAGGCAGAGACAGGCGGATCTTTGTGAGTTTGAGACCAGTCTGGTCTACATAGCAAGTTCCAGGCCTCCAGTCCAGCTGGAGCTACATTGAGACCTTGTCTCAAAAAGACAAAAAAAAAAAGAAAAAAGAAAAAAAGAAAGAAAAAAGGAGATCTGGAGTGGTGGCACACGCCTTTAATCCCAGCACTCTGAGTTCAAGGCCAGCCTGCTCTACATAGTGAGTTGTAGACCAGCCAGGGATACATAGTGAGACCCTGTCTCAAAAACAAACAAAAAGAAAATAAATGCCAGGATGACCAGTAACCACCCTCTCACCCCACCTTTCTCTGGAATATCCCTAGCTTCCACAGTCTCCAAGCTTGTCGTACCTCATTAGCACTAGTGTTTGGTCTAAGCAGTCTTGTAGTTCCGGTCCCTTACACCTAGAAAAGAAAGTCACCCTCTTAGAAGCTTGGGCCAGCAAGATGGCTCAGTAAATAAAGGCATCTTTCACCAAGCCCAAGGTCCTGAGTTCAAGCCCATAGGACCCATGTTCTGGAAGGAGAAAACAGATTCCTCAGTTGTCCTCTGATCTCTACATGTACACCCTGGCACACATGCACTGCCCCCCACATACACATAGTAAATAAATATAAGATTTTTAAAAAGTTTAAAGGCAATAGTGGCTCAAGTCCAAGGGCTTCAACATACAAAAGCCTGTTTCAGAACAAACTTACTATGGTATCTCATGCTGGAACCCAAAGCCTATCTCTAAAACAGAGCCTCCATCTCTGGCTCACCAGCCCTTCCTAAGCCTCTCCTGAATGAAACTACCATGAGCTGAGGCTACTCCAGGTTCCCCCAACCATGGTGCGCTTCGGTATTGTTTCTGAATTTCCCCTCCTCCAGTCCTTTACTCCATAGCTGGGAGTGAGTCTTCAATCACCAGGCTTTTCTTCTTGTTGCTCCCTTCACCCTAATTCTGTGCTCCTGCCCTCCCCTGGTCATCCCATCACTGACCCCTGGGTGCAATTCTCATGGCAGGGCCGACATTCATTCTGAGCATCTGGGTACTTGTAGATGGGGCCCTTGGCACCTAGGACTCCATGGGGGCAGCTGCTCACACAGTGGGGCCCATCTCGAAAATGTGCACATTGAGCACAAGCATCAGAGCCCTGAGTAAAAGAGAGAGGTTCATTAAGAATGAGTTCCCAGTGTGAATTCCAGTCTGCTCAATAAGGACCAGTCCATCCCTTCAGGATCCTCCAGGTACAAACTCCAGTATTATCTAGTTTCCCTGGTTTCCTGGCTCTGGCTGAGCTGGAAATTTGGCCACATCATTCCCAAGACACTCCAAATGTTGCTCCTCCCCATCTCCCTTACAGATCCCAGAATTGCTACTGTACCGAGCCGTTGCATGTGGCAGTGTCCTCCATGGGTAGGCATTCTGAGTGGCAGGAGAAACATTCATCCTCTTGGGCAAACTCACGAGGTTCCCTGCAGTGGAGGACACGGGGGGCAGGGGGGAAAGTCATTTCCAAGTTCTGACCTTCACACTCTGATCCTACAGTGAAGACTTCTTACTTCATGCCGACCAAGACACATGCGGAAAGCTGTCTACAAAGCCAGGTTTGGTGGCTCACATCTGTGATCCCAGTGCTTTGGAGGCTCAGGCAGGAAGATTGCCAGCCTGGGTGACAGAGTGAGACTCTGTCTCAAAACAAAAAAAGCAGGCAAGAGCAAGAGAGAGAGAGAGAACCAGAGAGAAAGACTTGTCTAAAGGCTGTCACTACCTGAACTTCTCCGTCCCAGGACCCCACTCCCACCCTTTCTGAAGGCTTTCCCCTCACTGTACCCATTCAGGAAGTTGCAGTGAGTCACACAGACACCTTCTCGGCTGTAGTTTCGACAGGATAAACACTGACCAGGGCCTGGGCCCCAGCATCCCCCAGAAGAGCACAGTGGATCACACACTTTGCCCTCTGCCACTGGAAAAGAATGGATGGATTATTAGAAGAATCTGAGGACTCTCAGGAAGCCCTCTCCTGAACCTTCCCTCATCAGTGCTTCTACCCTCACATACCCTTCCTGCTTGGTTCCATCCCTACTCCCACTTGCAGGAACAAATAGTCCCAGTTCCCCCCATCTCCCTGACCACCTGTTCTCATCTCCAATTGGCCCATTCCCTTACTGCAGTCTCTGCGAGGCCGATTATGTTTGATGTCAAGTCTCTCTTCTGAAGGCCCCCGAAGCAGCCTGGTCCAGTTTACAGAGTGGTGGTAGCAGAGTTGCCTATTGGCACTTATGTAGATACGCCCGGCACTAATTTCCTTCAGGGATCGGAGGCCCAGAGACGTGACATTCAGATTCTTCATGATCAACAAAGAGAAGCCCCGGCTGAGGATAAAGAGGCAGAATGAGAAGGCAGACTACAAAGGGAAGATTACATTTACAGTGGATTCATTTTCACTTAACAGATTTGCTCTAAGATAGACCAGTGGAGAGTCTGCCTCTTTTGGTGATTGTTCTTAAAGAAATATGTTTTTAAAATTATGTGTACATATGTTTGCTTGTGTGTGGGTATGTACATGAGTGCAGATGCCCTGGGAGGTCAGAAGAGGGCACCATATACCCTGGAGCTGAGGTAAACAACTCACTTTCTCTGGAAGAGCAGTATATGCTCTTAAATACCGAACCATCTCTCCAGCCTGAGAATTTGGGTTTTTTTTTGGTCTTTTTTGAGAAGGATCACCTGCTGTTGTCCTAGCTGGCTTGAAACTTGCTATGTAGACCACGCTGGTCTTGATCTCACAGAGATCTGCCTACCTCTGCCTCTTGAGTACTGGAATTTTTAAAAATTTTATTTATTATTTTTATGTGTATGAGTGTATTGCCTGCATGTATGTGAGTGCACCCATGTCGTGCAATGCCACGGAGGTCAGAAGAGGGCTTCAGATTCCCCTGGAACTGGAGTGAAAGGACAGTTCGTAGCTGACATGTGGGTGCTGGGAATCAAACCTGGGTTCAGCAGTCAGTGCTCTTAACTGCTGAGCCATCTCTCCAGCCCCGCCCCCCAGTACTGGAATTAAAGGTGTGTGTCACCACGCCTAGCTTCTTCTTACTATGGTTTGTGTGTGTGTGTGTGTGTGTGTGTTTAATCTTTTTGAGACAGGGTTTACCTGTAGCCCCAGCTGACCTGGAACTTGCTATGTAGACCAGGCTGGCTTTGAACTCACAGAGATCCCTCTGCCTCTGCCTCCCAAGTGCTGGGATTAAAGGCATGCACCAACACGCCTGGCCTCTTACTATGTTTTTGAGGCAGGGCTGGAACTCACTATGTAGCCTAGGGTAGCCTTGAACTTGCAATGAACCTCCTGTTTCAGTCTCCCCAGTGCTACTATTACAACACCACCCCTAGCTTTCCCCTTCCTTTTACCTTTTCCCCATCAAGCTAGCAGATCCTTGGGGCCTACTCAATAATAAGTGTGTTGTATTTCACAAAAGGATGCCCGTCTCACTCTCTGGAGATGCCACCACCTCCACATCCCTTACTCACTTGTAGAGGCTTCTGCCCCCAATGGTTGTCAGGTTGGAAAAGACACTGAAGTTGTGCATGTGAGGAGGCCAGGACTGGATGTTCAGGTACCCTGAAGGGTTGGAGAGAAGCATGTGAGCAGGAGTCTTCTCCCTTCCTTGGGTTTTCTGTGACCTGCCTCCCCTGCTCCTTGGGATGTGATTTTTCTTTTCTTTTCTTTTCTTTTTTTTTTTTGTCTTTTTGAAACAGGGTCTCTTTGTAGCCCCAGCTGGCCTGGAACTCACTATGTAGACCACACTGGCCTTGAACTCACAGAGATCTGCCTGCCTCTGCCTCCCGAGTGCTAGGATTAAAGATCTGTACCACCACACCTGGTGGGATGTGATTTTTCTTATGCCGACTAACTGTAATGTATGCTCCTCCCAGCAAAGGAAGCTATTCCTCTTCCTCACCTGTGATCTCCCGTACTGTCTGGAAGACATTGAGCTTCTCAGGGTCCAGGGCAGGGATTTTGTGCCAGGGATCTCTGTGGGGGGTGGGGGAGGGAAAACTGGTCAACAAAGTACAGGTATAACTCAGTAGGAATGAACACACCATACCTCAGAATTTGGTTTCTAGATGTCAATTATTCTTTTCAGTGCTGGGGATCAAACCCAGAGCCTTGTACATGCTAAGAAAGCTCCTCTGTTATTGAACTATATCTCAGCCTGATTACTTTTGGCTTTTAAATCACATTCTCCATCCAAAGAAAGCAGAACACTTTGGAGAAATGCCCACAGTTGGGGAAACATAAATATATAAGCCGGGAGCATCCTCTGCCAAAAAGTAAAGAAACGCTCAAGGGCTGACTAGATGGCGCAGCCAGTAAAAAGCACTTGCCATGCAAGCCTGACAACATGAGTTCCATCCAAGGATCCCATGGTAGAGGGAGAGAACCAGCTCCCAAAAGTTGTTCTCTGACTGCCACACATGCATGTCTGCCTACACACACACACACACACACACACACACACACACACACACACCACACACACACACACACACACATCACAGACACATGCACACCAAGAATTTAATCCCAATACTTGGGAGGAAAAGACTGGAGAATCAGAAATTAGCTAGCCTGAGCTACCTTAGACCCTATCTCAAAACAAACAAACAAAAATCATAAGCTATTGAATAAAATGAATTATTCACATAGATCAAATAAATCAGGCTTTGGGATACAGCTTAGTGGTAGCACTGTATCTCCAGTCCACAGTGTGGGAGTGAGTCCTAGAGTCTGTAGACACCTCGCTAGCATTCCCAAGGTGTGGGTCTGATCCCCAGCACTGCGTAAAAAAAAAAAAAAAAAAAAAAAAAAAAAAAAAAAAAGGTAAAATAAAAGGTAGAAAGGGGAGATTTTCCTAACAATGCTAATAAATAAATACAGAAGAAATGACAGAATTAGGTAATCATCATTTGACAGTTATCCTAATCACTGATTCAAGCAGATATTATTACTTGACTCTGTGTGTGTGTGTGTGTGTGTGTGTGTGTGTATGTGTGTACGTGTGCATATGATGTGTGAAATGGTCTCACTATGTGACCCTGGCTGGCCTCAAAATCTTCCTGTCTCAGCCTTCTGACTGTTGGGACAATGGATCACCAAGCCTGGCTCCAAAGTACTCATTAACTGCAGAAGGAAAACAGTAATTAACTTCATGGTAGAAAATTCCAGCAGATACTATCAAACAAGTGACAAGAGACATCATGGTCAATGAAGGGAAAAATCAACATCATCTGCATTCTTGATATGATGCACTAAGAATATATATAACATCTATCTGTACTCTGAGCACTGGGGAGGCTAAGGCAGGAAGATCCCAGACTTAAGGCCAGTCTTACCTACATAGTATGACCCTGTCTCAAAAAATAAACAATCTTTAAAAAAAAAAGCATAATTTGACTAGTGATTGAGAATTTACTTAACATGTCTAAGGGCCTGAGTTAGATCTCTAGCACTCCCCCAAAACAAAACAAACAAAAACAAAATAAGAAAAACCAAATCAAAACAAAAGGCAGGTAAGGACATGAGAGACATTCAGATCGAAGAAAGCCTTGCCAATTATCTGACCTTTACTCATCAACAAATCTCATAAAAGATAAGTAAGAACAAGCCAGAGGTGATGGCACACACCTGTCATCTCAACACTCTCCAGGCTAAGGAAGGATGGCAAGATCAAGGCCAGTCTGGACTACATATGGAGATTTTATTTCATTGGAAAAAACAAATACTGAACAGAGGTAAGGGGTGAGTGCATGTGGGTGTACATGCATGCATGCATGCATGTGTGTGAGGGAGGGAAAGAGAAAGATGATTTTTAAAGAAAGCATGTGGGGGGGGTGCTGGAGAGATGGCTCAGTGGTTAGCAACACTGGCTGCTCTTGTAGAGGACCCAGGTTTGATTCCCAGCACCCACATGGCATCTAACAACCATCCTAACTCCAGTTTCAGGGGACTTGACGCCTCCCTCTTCTGACCTCTGTGGTATTGCACCACACAGATGCACCTTCATATATGCAGGCAATACATTCATACACATAAAGTAAAAATAATAAAAAATAAATAAGTATCAGTCGGGTGTGGTGGCACACGCCTGTAGTCCCAGCACCGGGAGGCAGAGGCGGACGGATCTCTGTGAGTTCAAGGCCAGCCTGGTCTACATAGTGAGTTACAGGACAGCTGGGGCTACAGGGAGACCCTGCTTCAAAAAGACAATAAATAAATAAATTAATTAATTAATTAATTAATTAATTAAAAATAAATAAATGAATATGTATGTTAGGGGAATTTGGGTAAAGAATATATAGAAAGTACTTATGTCACTTTTGCAACTTAAATGTGAACCTAAAGTTCTATCTAAATGAAAAATTAAAAGAAGGGGCCCAGCAAGATGGCTCAGCAGGTAAGGTGCTTCCTGAAGAGTCTGACCTCTGAGTTCCACTTCTAGAACCTACATGGTAGAAAGCTAGAAGGGATACCTGCACTCCTGCAAGCTGTCCTCTGATATCATCTATATCCATTGTGGCACATGCACATCTCCCATAAAAATAAATTAAATAAATAAATAAAAAGGGTATTTTTTAAAAGCAGGTGACCATAGGCCTCTCTTTCTGTCTGCTCACCAACTTAAGTGCTGTCTAGGGATCAAAGTCTCTTTGCTCTTCACTGTTCCAAGGAGCAGAATTGGAGGAAACAGCCAGAAATCATGGAGAGGCATAATGTTTATCTAAATGTAAGGAAGAAGACCCTCTAGAAAACTTGAAGACACTCTCCCTGTCATTCCTCAGGGTATACTGGGATGCCTGAGGGTGGGAAGCAGAAGTGAGCCTTCTCTCAGGTCCTTTGAAGCCCTAAGACTTAATGACTCACATTTCTAGTCAGCTGCATGTAGGGGAGGGAGATTTAGGCAGCTGAATGGATTGTGCAGTGGATGGGACTGGGGATGTTGGGTGGGAAGGCAGAATCTCTAACCCATTGAGGCCGGTGATAAGGAAGTCCAGGTTGCCCAGGATCTTGGTGCAGTTCACAAATCCATCGATGTTGCTCGAGTCCACAGTCTGGAAGCGGCTCCCAGAGCCTGTCCCCTCACAGGCTGCAAACACAAAAGAGTGTTGGGGGTTGAGTTGCCTCTGAGGAAAGGCCATTTATAACTCTCTGCCCTCTCTTACTCACCTTTTGGGCACAGCCCTCCACAAGGCTCACATATCTTGAGCCCATTTTTATCTACTTCCATCTTGTCAGGAGGACAAGCCCTGACACAGGATGTCTGATCTACCACAAAATTATCTAGGGAAGAAGAGGGCACCATTAGAGATGTGCAACATTGCCAACTGCTAAGATGCCCCCCCCCCGCTCCATTATGCACACCTTCTATCACTTTAGGATCTTCAGGTCACCCAACTTAATCCCTTTTGCACCCCCAAATTTTGTCTAAAATCTTGAGTCCACTATAATTGTTCCTTCCCCTCAAACACTTACGGGGACAGCTGGCCACACAAACTCCTCCATATTGGTACTTGGTATGAGGGTTGGGTTCTAGCTGGAAAGTTAGTTTGTTGTACACAAGTGGCTGTGGACACCGGGGCACACAGGCTCCACTGTCATTGAAGTGTCGGCAGGCCTGGGAAAGCGAAAGATTCCTAAAATTCATGTTTTTTATATGTGTTCCTATCTACTCCCCGAAGCCTGTACTCCCATTTCAGGGCACAGGCTGACAGTACCACTACGTACAAAGCAGTCTGTGTCCTGAGGCCCAGAGCAGCCCCCTGCACACTCATCATGGCAGCACTGGTTGGGGTTGGGCCCGAAGCAGTGACCATTACACTGAGGAGCACAGATGGTCTTGGTCACTATGGAAAGAAAGAAAGAAAGCATGGCATTCAGCGCACTCAGAGCTAAATCCAGAGACCATTGCTCATCTGGACCCTTCGGACTAACCCAGGCTTACACAGGGAGGGTTATGAGAGGGTCTGAGTTTAAGCTTTTAGAAGGAAATTCAAACCCACATGTCTGGCAGTCTTCTGGTCCTGGACCCCAGCATCGCCCCTTGCAGACTTCATGACACCGGGGACCTGGTTGGAAAGAAAGGCAACACACAGGGCCATCAGAGCTGAGAAAGGCTTGCTTGAAATCAACAGAGTATGATGTCAGCACACAGGCACCTCAATCCTAGGAAGCAAGTGCCCTGGGCTGTGTCCCTCCCTGCCCTGGGTGAACAGGGCTGGGCTCAAGTGAACCTGTCAACAAGGGGTGGAGTCACACCCCCACACTACCCACTGGGCAGCTGAAGGGGAGGGACTGGGGTAGATGCCAACCTCAGCCTCAGCCCCATCCCAGGAACTTGGTTCCTCCCAGGCAAAGTGAGTCCAGCTGATTATGTGCCTGTGAATGGGCAGGGAGCAGCCAGGGCTGCAGGGAGATGTATTGGCAAGAGTAGGGTTATAGTCCAAAGAGCTGGCATCCCTGCTTAACACCCACACAACTTTTGCCCCTTTTCCTGGTTTGGGCTCCAGGAGAGTGACCTGGCTCTTCCTGGTGGGCAGACATTTGGGTTTAGGGCCTGAGGTGACTGTTTAGGGATGGAAGGCTGGGATTAGGGATATAATAGGAATGGGGAAGGAGTCACTCTGGTTTGCTGGGGCAGGGAAGCAATCTTGTTCATGGCCACTCACAGTTTCTGCCATTGTCCTTCACCACTATCTCGGCATCTCGGTCCCTCACGATGTCCCTCCAGTCAATTGTATCCATGTGGCAAAGTTTGTCATTCTTCTCAATATAAACGCCCCCTGACAGAATCTCTGAGGTGAGGAAGAGACGTGACAGGTCAAGGATGAAGGCACAGCTCTTCTTCCATACCTTCCTATCAGTCCAAAAGGACACTTGACCCAGGAGCAGGGGGTCTATGGCCTGACCTACAGGTGGTCCAATCAGGTTTGTGCTGCAGGAAAGACTAGCCTCCTAAGAGGAGGAGTCAGGCTGAAGAAACTCCTGCCTCTTCAGGCACCTGTCCAGATCCGGTTTAGCCAGTGGTGGAGGGGCAGAGAGAGAAGGACAGGACATCCTGACTCAATCTGCCACCCCCCCAGCCGCCACCCCCAACCCCGAGGCCTACCTGAGTGTTTTCCAACTGACTGCGACAGGGAGAGTACAGGGTGCCCAGCTGGTGTTTACCTCTTAAATTCATCCAGCTGGTTGGGGTTGGGGAGGGAGTAAAGGCAAGATTCCAGAAGAGGGATATCAAGGGGATATCAAGGAACACTGTACTTTGAAGTTAGAGGAATAGGAAACAGATCCAGAGACCAGTCTAGCCTCACCATCACATAAGAACCCTCCCTCCTGGAATAGCTGACCCCAGCTCCCCACTGGGGCCCTTTATTGTTTAAAGAGTTGTGGACTTTTTGGCCACCAAGGTAGTGGGCACCTTGGAAGAAACAGTGAGCAGTCTTGGGTTGTTATCAAGGAGGGAGGCTGAGGACAAAGTCAGAAGGGACCACCAGAAACTGACCCGTGAGCTGAGTAAAGCGGAGCTGGCGCAGAGCGTGGCTGGAATTGGTGTTATAGTTCAACATGACAAAGATGGCGAACTTCCCATCGTAGAACTGGGTCCCCCGTACCACTCGGAGATTAGGCAATGGTAGTATAGAGAATTCATTCATGGCCACAAGGACATAGCCTGTCACTTCTCGGATCCACTGTGATGGAACAGATCATGTTAATGAAAGGGACAAGGCAAAATTTCTTTCCTCTTTCCTCTCTTTTGCTTAAAACACTACCCCTTAACTTAAAACAAAACAAAACAAAAACTGGGGCTGGACATCAGGCAATTGCTCTACCACCCAGCCACAGCTGCCACCTGACTGCAGTCCTTAATGCATTGCCCAGATTGGTCTTGAACTCCTGGCCTCAAGCAGTTGAACTGCCTCAGCATCTTAAGTAGATGGGCTTATAGGTGCATGCCACTGTGCCCAGCCTCCCTGAATTTCTTTTCCTTTCCTTTCTTCCTCCCTCTTTCCTTTACTTGCCCTCCCATCTCTCTGTCCTGGAAACTAACACAGGGCCTTATGCATACTCTGTAAGCACTGCACCCCTGAGCTCCATCCCTAGCTCTACATCCTTTCTAATTCCTAATTTGGAGTAGGGAGTAGTCTGGCTGTCACACGGCTATGTCACTTCTGTGAGTGAAGACAAACAGCAGCAATAGCTGAAGATCTAAGTTTCTTCTCAGCATCCCCCCATACCAGGAGAGTCCTGGCTCAGTTCCCACCTCATCTCTCCAGGTGCCTTTGAGTCCTTGGGTGGCTCTCTGAGTTAGTCCAGCTTACAGTACAGTTAGGCTTACACAGAGCACCACCTGCCCTGTTCCTTTCTTCTGGCCAGCCTCTATATAACCCTGGTTATAGAACCAAACCACGAGTTCCTGATTCTAGTCACCATTTCTGTAAACACACAGGTTTGAGTCTTAGGAACTACTAAGTCTTTTTTTTTTTTTTTTTTTTGTGTCTTTTTGAGACAGTGTTTCCCTGTAGCCCTAGCTGGCCTGGAACATGTAGACAAGGCTGGCTTTGAACTCACAGAGATCCACCTGCCTCTGCTTCCCAAGTGCTGGGATTAAAGGCATGTGCCACCATACCCGCCGAGCACAGGAACTACTGAGTCTTGGAAATGCTGGACACAGCATAGAGTGATGCCGAGAGAAAGGGAAGGCATTTCTATGTTTAGGATAAGGGAGAAACAAGAGAGGGAAATGCTGAAGGAGGGGCTGGGCACTCTCACCTGCAGGAAGGAAAGGTCAGCGTTGTGTCCTGTGAGCACAATCTCCAGGTTACCCATCACCACCTCACACCTCTCGTAGAGCTTGTACAATGTCTGGTATTGGTTTTCAGCATCACCAGTCACACTCAGACCATTCAGAGTCCCAGGACACACTGTTCAAAGTGGAGGTAACAGTGGCAGAGGGTTGGACACAAGTCCCTTCTTCCAAGACCCCCTTGGGCTGTCCTCTTCCAGTTATATTCAGTTATTTCAAACTCTACCCACTGGAGACAGACAGGCCCACATGTCTGGGCCCTCCTCTCTTCTCACACGCCCCCTCACCATTCCAAATGGGAAGGTGAAAGGTACTTTTTCCTACCAGGGTTCCCCTGTGCCCCTTTCAGGCACTAATTTGTGCACTAAGAGGTTAACCCAGGAGAAAGACAGGGGACTTTTCTCTTCCCTGGAAAGAAGTTAAGCAAGGATCAAACTTTGATTACCCTCCTCTCCTCAACTAAGGCACTTACTTCTCTGCCCCCATCCTGCCTCTCTCTAGGCCCTGGAATAAACATCTCTTTAGGGCTAGCACACAGCCCCTATTGTGTCTACAGAGGGTGGGATGGGGACAGAGGGTGGGGGCACTGCCTGGGGCCACAGTTCAGCCCACAATGAGGCGATTCTATCCAGGAGGAGGGGGCTGCCCCACCCTGTCCCATATACCCCGTCCTCAGCAGCACCCCCCTCTACCCTCAAGCTTTGGGCTCAGACAAGTGACCTCACTGGAGGGAAAAGACCTGGTAGTGGGGTGGGGGTCAATGGGAGCTTTGTCTTTTGAGCTGGATGATAAGGAGCTGGCAGCCTCCCTCTTCCTAAACTCTGGCTTCCCTCCTCACTCCCTTCCTCTAAGCCGACAAGCTCCAGCTCTCCTCAGCATCACAGTGAAGCTGTGAAGTACTTTTCAGCTAACAGAGAAGCCTGGAGAGAACCAGAGCAGACCCTCTGCTCCTAAGCCTTCCTCCCGATTTCACTGTCAGAGAGATCCATTAGAAAGACTTCTATCATGGCATTCTCCCCAGCAGGCACTCCAGGGGAGAGCCCAGGCTGAGGAGCCAGTGAGATAGTTCAGTACTGGGCTTTCACTTTCTTTTGTAAAAATGGAGGACAATGGGCATGGGAAGTCTTGGCCTTCTGAAACCTGATGTGTGCCTCTTTCCTCTGACTCAGTGAAAGAGCACATGGGGAGGGTGAGGAGTTAGGGGGAAGATACCACCTGTTCTAACCACCCTCCCTGAGGCCTGGGAAGCAGGAGTGCAATAGTGGGAGACTCAGGGGCCCCAGCCCCTCCAGCAACACACACCCCTGGTCTGACCACTTGATCTTTCAGGGCCCCCCTTCCCTATCTCTCTCCAGGAAAGAAGCTGTAGACCAGTCCCAGCAGGGAGGGATAAACAGGTTAGAACCTCCCAAAGGAACCTGGGAACTCCAGGGTCATTTGGGTTGAAATGAATGAGTAGAAAAGTTAGTCATTTCTATAACAGCTCCACCTCTATCCCCTTCCTGGCAGAACACCCCTCTTCCAAGTTAAGGTGCCAACACTTCTCAGATAAGGGAGGAGCCAGGCTTTCTATATAGGGAAGTGGTATGGACATGTGCACGCACACTATACATGACTGGCACACAAACACGTACACAGTTCACCTGGCCCAGAAATCTAGATGGCTTGCCCCTGGGATCCTATAGGATGTCCTACAGGTAGCCTATCCATCCACCTGCCTACAGTGCCCTTGCAGACTTTGTATCTGTGCTTGCAAGGCAACAGTGTTAATAGTCTCAGTTACCTGCCATCCTGAGGGTAAAGTCCATATTTCACAAACAAGGGCAAAGGGCCTGGGCAGTACAATAGTATAAACAACAACTCTGGGAGGAGCCAGAAAACTTGGGGAACAGGGCAAAGGGGAGGGATTAGAAAAGCCCCTACTATGCCCAGGAACTAAGAGCTCAAAGAGCAGCAATGTTAGAACCCTTTTTGGACAGAGAGCAGTGAGGTTGGACAGGGCCAGAACCTCTACCCACTCCAGAGGCCTCCCCTCTACTGCCACCCCCTCCACACACATTCAAGGGGACAAAGGGTCTATAGAAGGCTTAGATAGGGCCGGATGCCCAGAGGCTTCAGGATCCAGATAAAGAGTAGAAACCCAACTATGTCTGCCCCCTGCCTCTCAGAGAGGGTGGTAGAAATCCTGGACTCTGGTTCCTGAGTGAAGATTGGGGGGCAGATTGAACAGTGATTGATACAGTGGTTCCATCAACCCCTTCCACTCTGGTCTCCGGATCACCCCCCTCCACCAGCTGGGAGTGTTCACATCTCAAGATCCCAGGGTCTAAATTTAGGCCCAGCAACTGCGGGGGAAGCACAGGTGGCTTCTCCTACTCCCACCCTGGGGAAGGGACCCTGGCTGTGCCAAACTCCAAGCTGAGATCTAGGGCATGGGGGAAGATCAACAGGACTCTAATCACACCAACTCCAGCATTCTTCAGGTGTCCGTGGTTCCAGAGGCACCCGTGGGAGTGGGCTCAGATGGCACGGAATGGGAGGAGGGATAGAGAAGAGCAAGCTGGGCTCTGTCTGAAATTAGACAATAAACTGAACTGAATGGGGGAGGGGCAGAAATTGGGTCTAGGAACTTTACAGCACAGTCTGCTCAGAAGGTCGGAGAGGTGACAGACTGGGGAGAGATACAGAATTGAGTTGTCCTTTCCTCTGCAGCTCTGGGACTAGGGTGTATACTACATACCCTGGCTATAGTATAGTATGTAGTAGATGCTCAATAAATGCTCGTGGAATTGACCTAGACCGTGATAAAAGGAGGTTGGTTAAGTTAGGGACTGGTCAACTTTATTTTGAGGGAAAGCAGTAGGCCAGCCTCGATGGGGCCTCTCATTCTGATGTCACCTGGACTTGGCTCTCAGGTTAATCTCAGACCTTCTCAGGGCAGTCCCACTTACGGAAGAGGAGGTGCCATTCTTGTTTTTCTAACATCAGAAAACAACAACTTCCAACCCTCCCATAGCTCCGCCCTGTCGGCAAAACAACGAAACTGGGGGGTTGTTGATACCTAGGGTGGGGTAGGGGGTGGGGAACTGGGGCGCAAACAGACCCTTCAGCTAAGAATCTCCACTTCCACCAGCTCTTCACCTTTACAGAAAGGTCCCCGCCCGCCCCTCTCTGCAAGGCTTTCAAAAGTGTGAACCACCTTTCGGGCAACCACCTTATCGGAGCAGACCAATTAGAGGGTCTGCGACACCTTGCCAGACCCACACCAAGAACCCAGCCCCCTTATAGACGTCCCCCTTATAGGGAATCCCAGAAGACCGGGGGTCGCACCCTGAGCTCGGCACGTCGGAACCCCTACCCTGCCCAGGGTCTGCGCGCACTCGAGTCGCGCTCCCGGGTTCCAGCCTACTGGGGCTCCCGCGCCGCTTACCTGCCTGCGAGTTGCCCACCTCTGAGCCCCGGGCCAGGCTGAGAAGCAAGCCCAGCACCTGCAGAGCCCCGATCGCCCTCATGGTTCCAGCAGAGGGTGAAGGGAGCCCAGCCGAGTCCGGCCGGGGGGCCCCTGGACTAGGGCATCGGAGCGACAGCCACCTGAGCAGTCAGAGAGTTCGTGGCGGCGGCGGCCGCCGAGGCTGCAAATGCAACCGGAGCCGGAGTCCGGAGCGGGATGGCAGGGGAGGGTGTAGGTCTGGAGACTGGGAGGGAGGGAGCGGAGGGGGAAGTGGGTGAGTCACGGCCGCGCCCCCTCCCGTGCCGGCCTGGAGTCGGATGGCTGCGGCGCGGATAGCCGCCCAGATCGCGCCCCGCCGCCCGCCCGCAGCTGGGCTGGGAGGGTCAAGGAAGGGTCTCAGTCCAGCAGTTTCCCCAGGAGCTGGGCTCGGAGCAGAGGAGGCTAGCAGATGCCCCGGAGCGAGGGAAAGGTAGAGTGCCGGTGCAGAGCGCGCCCAAGCCCGGCCCCGAAAGCTGGCCGCGCCCACTAAGCCGACCGCCAACTCCCCTAGCCGGTTGGATCACTTGAGGGACTTTTCTCTCCCGCTTGCGGCGTGGGAGGTTGCTTTTTAACCCAGTGCTCCTGCCACCTCAGTTTCCCCGGGACTCAAAGCCCCAGAAGCCATGCCCCTGCCCGGGAACCCGAGACCCGGAGGCCGCGTGAAATCGCACTGTCTCCGGCCGCTTCCTCCAGCAGCCCCGGCGCCGGCCCGGCCTCTGGGGGGATTTGGCCGGGGGGCGGGGGCGGCTTCCAGCCTGGGAACAGACCCAGGAGCCCGTAGCCCCCCTCTGCCCTGGGCGGGGCTACCGCACCTGTCGCAGTCCCCTCTGCTGCCCCCCACGGCCGCCCCGGAGAACAGCTGTCTCCCGTCCGCCCTGCAACGGGTGGCGGTCCTCGCGGCCGGCGTTCCCGCCTCTTCTGGGGACCCAGATGGGCACACCCCCCATCCTGGCGCTGACGCCCAGACTCCTCCCCAAGGGGACAGTGGAGAGGGCGCGGGGAGGTCACTAGGGTCCTGGTCCACCCCGCGCAGCGTGGGCTGCTGTCCGGGGCGGGGCGGGCCCGCGCCCGCTGATGCTGGGTCCGTTGCATCTCAAATCCCTTAGACTGGCATTCCCTGCCCAGAGTACCTACTTTCCCCCGTTGCACTTCGGTGAGGATGCCCCACTACCAGCTACGATCCTCTTTTTCTTTCCTGTCGTTTTATTTTTTGTCTTTGAGACAGGGCCTCATATAGCACAAACTGGCCTCAAATTCACAATGTAGCAGAGGCTGGTATTGGACTCTTGGTGACTTTCCTGCCGCCACCTCTCAAGTACAGATGTGGGCCACCAGACCCAGCTCTCATGATACAATTCTTTACAATTTTAAAATTTTATTAATTATTATTATTGTTGTGTGTATGATGGGGGTGGGGCATGGGTGCTGCGGGGGTAGGGTGGTGCCTGTGGAGGTCAGAGGACTATTTCATGGAGTCACTTACCTCTTTCCATTTTTTGTTTGTTCGTTTGTTTTGGTCTTTTTGAGTCAGGGTCTCCCTGTGGTCCCAGCTGGCCTGGAACTCACTATGTAGACCAGGCTGACCTTGAACTCTCAATTTAAAAGGTTTTAAAAAATAAGGGGGGAAAGTGAGGAGGGGACATGGCTTAGTGGCAGAGTGTTTGCCTAGCATGCTTAAGGCTGTAGGTTGACTCTCCACCATCAAAACCAAAAGCCATAAAAAGTGGCAACACTTCATCATTTCAGCACTGGAAACTTGTGACTTTTCTCCAAATTTATCTGTCTGGAGAAAGTTGGGAAGGAGCTCAGATTTTTACCCAGAATTTCTCTTTTTTTTTTTCTTTTTCTTTTGGTCTTTTTGAGACGGGGTCTCCCTGTAGCACCAGCTGGCCTGGAACTCACTATGTAGACCAGGCTGGCCTTGAACTCACAGAGATCCTGCTGCCTCTGCCTCCTGAGTGCTGGAACTAAAGGGGTGTGCCACCACACCAGGCTCCAGGATTTCTTATGACATACTGAGACTGGAGCTTCATCTGGTCAGATTCAGACTCCTTTCAGAGTTAGGATTGTAGTCTAGTGTTCAAGGGTTAGCCTAGTTATGGGCAGGGACTCTGGTTTGATACCTGGCAGTGCGTGGGTGCACCTCCCATTGGGTGGCAGCACTAATACTCCTTAAGGGTCTCCTCTTCCACCCACACAGCCAGATCAAAGAGCTTTTCACTTCATTATACACCCACCTCAATCTAGTTAGTATCCAAGGCCCTGGTCTCTCAAAGAGAGGTAGTTTCCTTGTTCAAGAGCAGTTGTGGGGCTGGGATGTAGATCAATAGTAGATTGCTTGCCTGGCATACATGAGGCCCAGAGCTCATTGCCCAGCAAGTCAAAAAAAAAAAAAAAAAAAAAAAGACTGCAGCCGTCTTTACTCATAAGGTTATTTTTATTTAAGAGAAAGAGGCAGAGCTGGGTGTGGTAGCTCATTCCCATAAGCCCAACATTTGAGAGGCTGAGGCAGGAAAAATTGTAATGAGTTTCAGGCCAGCCTGCTATGATGGCTTCACAATGTCCCAAGCCTGTCAGGACTACACATAGCAAATCATACCTAAAGAAAAACCAAAAAGAAAAGAAAAAAGTGAAAGAGGCAAGTCACATGTTCTCAGTGACTGTGTGGTGCTCAGCCTTTATAAAGCATATAGTATGTGCTAGCTGTGTCTAATTCCTATTATTCTCAGCTCACCCTCCCAGCTAGATCTAAGAGATGTGTGCTCCTGGCCCTCCAGTTCATACTTCAGCACTTAGCAAAACAGCATCCTAAGCATCCGGAATAAACAGAGCACAATGCTGCCCTGTTGCTTGCTTTGTTAAGGACTGCCGTGAATAAATTAATTGAAAGAAAGGAGGCTTTATGTGTGAATGCTTTCTGTCCCTGCCACAATCCCATTATCTTTTCTCACTGTTGTCTATGACTTTGATGGAGGTTTTGTTTGTTTTATGATATTATTTGTGTGTAGGATGCGTGGTACCACAGTACATATGTGCCACTGTGCAAGTGTGGTGGTCAGAGGACAACTTTCAGGAGTTAGTTCTCTCCTTTCATCTTGTTGAGGCAGGGTGTCACTTGTTTCTGTCACTCTACATCTTCTAGTCTAGCTGGTCCATGAGTTTCTGGACAATTCTCCTGTCTTCACTTCCCAACTCCCTATAGAAATGCCAGGAGGACAAATATGAGCCACCCCATCTTTTAAATTTTTCTCTCGTATCCAGGTTTTGGTAGGTTCCAGAGATCAAATACTGATGACATGCTCGTGGCGGTCAGAGGACAACTCTCCAGAGTTGGTTGTTTTCTTCCACCATCTGGGTCCTGGGGATCAAACTCAGGTTGCTGGGCTTGGTGGCAAGTGCCTTTACCCACTTAGTCATCCCTCCAGCCCACAAGGAGGGTTCTTGATGGTTCTTAGAGAAAGACAAACTTATTACACTGTTCAAAGTGGGGTATATGTGCAACTTGATGTAGGTGGGGGTCCTAGATTGCTAGGTGTATTGTTAGAAGGGTGTGTATATAGCTCAAACCAAGTGGGGTCCCAGGTTCTTGCTAAAATATTCCCTATGCTTGCCCTCTTCATTGCCATACCCAGCTTGATTTTGTTTGTGTGTGAACTCACACAGATCCACCTGCCTCTGCAGCCTGACTGCTGGTATTAAAGGCCTATGACATCATGCCCAGCTTGGTTCTTAATTTACTATAAAAACACAGGTAATCCTCTGGGCCTGGTGACAAATGCCTATAATCCCAGCTATAAGTAAGCTGAGGCAGGAGGACTGTAAATTCAAAGCCTGCCTTGGCTATAGAGTGAGGTCAAGGTGAGCTTGGTTAGCTTAGTGAGATCCTGTTTCCAAAAGAAGTTGAAGGAGGACTGGGACATAGTGGCAGAGCATCTGCTTGGCATGGGTGAGGCCCCTGGGCTCAGTCTCCAGCACCATGAAAACCAAAACCAGATAAAGCAAAAACTGTCCTTATCTCCTGTCATTATTGCAGTCTACCCAATTCACCAGGATCATAACCTCTGTGCTCTGCTGACTTCTAGCTCCGTGCTTTGTTCAGGCTTGTCTCTTCACCCCTCTGCTTCTTTCTTGTCGTCCTTAAACTGATTTTCTAGCACTATCCCCTTTCTCCTCATAATCTATTTTTCTGTATATCTGATTGTTTCCCTTAAGGTACAAATCTACCTATAATATCTGCCATATTTTTGTTCGCCCAGGCTGGCCTAGAAATCACTATGTAACCAAAGCTGGCCTTGAATTCACAAAAATCTTTCTGCTCAGATTCCCAAGTGTTGGGATTACATGTGTGAGCCACCAAGCTTGACTCGAGATCTGTCATCTTAAGAAAATAGAACGGGGATGTGGGGACAATGTGATTGCCACATCTGTCACCCCATTGATCACCACACTGATTTGGTGATCTAGCTAGCTAGGTGGGTGTCCCCTTCCCCGAATACTCCATGTTTATCTCTTCTGAAGCTGCAAATCCATCAAAGAGGAAGCCTTCCTGGATAGAGGAGGACAGGTCTGCAGTCAAAGGAGTAACTGCATTCCTCTGCTAGAATCTCCAAACGTCTCAAGAAAATTAAATGGGCTGAGCTGGGCCCGGTGGCACATGCTTTTAATCCCAGCACTCAGGAGGCAGAGGCAGATGGTTCTCTGTGAGTTCAAGGCCAGGCCGGTCTACATACTGAGTTGCAGGCCAGCTGGGGCTACAGGGAGACCCTATCTCAAAAAGACCAAACCAAACCAAACTAAACAAAACTCGGGGCTAGAGAGATGGTTCAGCAGTTAAAAGCACTACAGAGGACTCTGGTTTGGTTCTCAGCATCCACATGGTGGCTCACAACCACCCATAACTCCAGTTCCAAGCATTCTGATACCCTCTTCTGGCCTCCTGCATGCACATGGTACACATAAATTCACAAAGGCAACATATATACATACACATAATTTTTTAAAAAATTACTTTAGAAAGAAAACAAGAGCCAGATGTGGTGTACATCCCTTTAATCCCAGAACTTGGGAGGCAGAGGCAAGCAGATCTCTGTGAGTTCAAGGCCAACCTGGTCTACATAGTGAGTTCTAGGCCAGCTGGGGGTACA